ACACACACACACACACACTGGCTGACAGATTAATGTGGATTCTTGTTCTGCTGACAGTCCAGGCATTTAAGGAGCCAAGGCTGCACATGGTGTAAGCATTTTCCCTGTGAGCGCTTCAGAAAAGGAGACACACACTTCCTGTTCCTGCACCAGCCATCACGTTATGGCCATTGAGGTCTCTGCATGAAAGATGTGGAAATAGGTTTACGTTCCGACCTAAAATCATTACAAAAGGAAGGCGTCTCTGTGGGATAATATGACATATTAATGTTTATGGACACTTAAATCCTCCGGAGCCTCCAGCTACGCGATATTACCTTGTTCTGCTCGTTTCTGTATGTGACCTGGCTTTTGCTGGATTGCCGTCGTGAGCTAATACGCTGCTGCAGTGAAACAATAAAGTGCATGAATTAGATATGAGGTTGACATAGAGATGTAACAGATGGGTTGGCTTTTCCTACGCTGCATGGCTGCCCTCAGACTGTGCAGAAACACCAATAGAAAAGAGTTGATAGATGGATTGATTCGATGTGAACGTGATCAGACACGTTCACATGTGAGTTAGACTCCGTGTTTTTGGAGATGTGCACATCGAGGCATGCATTCATAGGAAGTCGAGACCACTGGCCGAGCCACTCGACTTTGGCTGATTGATTTCACATCACTTGAGTATCCCCGATAACTGCATGCCTGGAGGGCTGCACATGCGTGCACCAGCACATGTTTTTTAGAGTGTGGGGGGAGTGGAGGCTGTGAAAGTGTAGGTGTGTTTGGAACAGCAGCAGCCAGTTACTGTACACGGTGGCATTTGTATCGACACGCCGAACACGTCTGCTTGCATCCAAAACGAGAAAGCACTTCTGTTGCTTTTGTTTCTTTCTTAGCCGACTTAAATCCAGTCGATGCATCAGCGGAAAGAAATATTCAAACATGAAGTGTGGAAGTTTATTCCATGATTGCTGCCCCCATTTGCTCAGAAATCCCACTTCAAATGAGTTTTCTCAATTTTGTTCCTGCAGCAGCACGTTCAGATTTGAAGTCTTTGATTTGGAAATGTCAGACGTAGTCTGAGATGCTGAGCAAATTACTTACAGGAAAAAAAAGCTGTTATTTTAAGCAGGATCTGTCATATACGGAGTCTTGTGGAGGTACAGTGCAGTAAAGAAACAAAGATAAACATCTCATCTTTAATTGAAGGTAATTTTCTTCTCTACTGGAATAGAAGCAGACACTAAGCCGTCCTTGTGACCCTTCCACAGTTACCTATTCTTACAATTTTTATTCTTTGTGCAAAGCTGTAGACAAAAAATATCAAACAGATTGATTATTTAAAAGGCTTTGAAATGTCAGATGTGATAAAACACTTGTTTTATCTTTATTTTATGCTTTGCCACTGCCTTTTAGACTTCTTTAAGCCCAACTTCGATGGAAAGCTTGATTAAACTTGAAAACCAAAGGAATTTTCTGTCTCCTCTGGGAAATCCAACAAACCAGTAATTGAATGTGTGAACACTGCCTGACTTGGAGTTGGAGTAGAAGTGTGTCAAGGAGAAGTTTTCGAGAGAGTCCGGAGAGAAGCGAGCCAATTATTGGTTTTATTCTGTTGAATATTCAGAATCGTTTTAAGGTTTTGGCTTAGCTTCAGAGTTTTCTGTGTGTGAGGATGATTAGAAGTGTGAGACGTGTACAAATTGAGTTTTGTCATTTTTAACAAACTGGTGTGCTCACATTAGCATTCGATCTATAATGCATGCCTCATTAGGACGGTTTTTGCTGCATAATTAAGAACATTTGGGGTTAAACGTGACACTGCTACCTCTGCTTTAGCCTTTGTAGCATCCAGAAATGGTCAGTTTTTCATGTACAGTTTGACCTCGTCAGTATCTGGTCATATGGGGACAGGAGTCTACATTTGTTGCCTTTAATCTGCCGGATCCTGCCATTCCATCAGCTGGAGTCCGGGCCTCTGCAGCTCTGAACACATGATAATGATAATGGGCTGCATGGTGGCGCTGTGGTTAGCACTGTTGCCTCGCAGCACGAAGGTTGCAGGTTCGAAACTCGGCTGCAGCCTTTTCTGCGTGGAGTTGCGTGTTCTCCCCGTGCATGCGTGGGTTTCCTCCGGGTACTCCGGTTTCCCCCACAGATCACAACATGCCCTACAGGTTATACATTGTAAGTCGCTTTGGATAAAAGCGTCTGCTAAGTGAATAAACATAAACATAATATATTGTCAACTAACCGTTCCCTTTTCAAGGCTTAAGCTTCCCTTATTGTTTCTACAGGAGTCATCATGCCTCTGAATAAAAGTGAACATTTTCAGCTCATATGAGTTAATTAATAATGAATTGAAATGAACAATATGGTTAAATGAAATGTTTTGATTAATTAACTCATATGAGCTGAAAATGTTCAGTAGAATCCTGTAGAAGTGTTCTTGTACAGCAATTTTTCAACTGGCTATTCTGGTTATTGATCAGAACAGATGCCATGATGTCAGAGATGGTGTAACCCTCCGGAGCACATTGAGTCTAAAGAGGAAAACCCGGTGGTTGAGAAGTGATGAGACGAGTGTGTGCTGCGTTGGGTGAAGCAGCTGTGTTTCAGCAAATGAAACCACAACTACAAATGGCGTGCACGGCATCGCCGTGTAGCACTCTCATTCTCTAGTTTAGATCTGTGCCAAAGGGAGCCGTGGAAACGCACACGGAGACTAATGACTGTCCCCAAAATGCAGATTTTTACTTTTATTTTCTATTTCTGTGGCTCACTGCCTTCTCCTATTACCCGTGACACCCCCCGCCTCCCAGACCGCCTTCTGTTGATCACTGAAATTGACCACAATTCACCACATGGCAGGGTGAGACGAGGGGGGCTTTTCAGTGATGACTGGGAGAAGTGGGGGAGGGAGTGGAGCACGCGAGTGGAAGAGTGGACGTCCACTGCCTCTCCAGCCCGGCCCGTCATGTATTTATAGCAATATTGAATTTAATTGCGTTTCTAGCAGGGGCCTGAATTTTAAGAGACTCATAAATGGAATTCCAGCCATGCAGGAACACGGTCCTCTGTGCAAAGAGCATGCAAAGTGCAAACTCATGGAAAGCAGCTCGCTCTGCAATCTGTGTAATGCAAAAACCTGAAGCAAAGCCCATCAGCCCGCTGTTTCCTGGACACCAATGGAAGCTGGCGTAAGTGCTGACCCCAGGGCTGTGCACTGCGCCGTGTGTTCAGATGGTGCAGCAGCGAGGAGCTCTGGGTGGCAAACGAGCGCTACACTCGCCCTCCTTTTAGCCTACAAGTGGACCTGTGTCTCTGTCCAGTCCTGATTGTTTCATTTCAAACACAAACGGAACAGGCAGTTGTGTGGCGCGTCCTCTTTGGGGCACTGTTCACATTCAAATTCATGGTCTGTTTATTGGATAATAAGTTGAGTGTGAAAGATTAATTTGCATTTAGTTCATCATCCCAGTGATACAGAGCAGCAATTTCTCTACAGCAGAGCTGGGAGCCTAATGACTTAAAGGGGGACAATACAAAAGTCGAATCAATATGTGGGTTTTTTTTATGTCAAGGGCACTGGGGTAGACACTCTGATTCAGACCTCTTACTTCTTCCCACTTAATTCTTGTCCCTCAGTCAGAGCCAACATACAGTATCAGGCACACTCAACGCGGAGCCAGGAGTGATTTCATATTAGGCGTAATCAACACATTAATGAACATCATTAAAACCAGAGCTCCAAAAACGTGGGTTAACTATGTGTAAGCATGAAAACGTGTGTGTGAGGTGTGTGTTCAGGGCCATCACAGCCTGTTAGAGCCTCAGGCCAAAACACACGGGGGTAACCTGCTCCTCAAAGTGAGCCTGACATTAATAATTTCCCTCCTTTTTAATATTCTAAGGTTTATTATTTGTACTTTTCTTGCAACCAGCAGCAGTGCGACAGCTGGGTATAGGACTTTAAGGGTGGTCAAATTCAAGCGGCGGTCTGGACGCCAAAAGGTCACATGTTTAATCCTAGCTGGAGCTAATGTGCTGCTGGGATTATAGAAGTACAAAATGAAATAATCCCTGAATTTGACAGCATTTGCTAACATTTGACGCATTAGTGTAGCTATGGCTCTACTTGAGGGCATGGGGGTGGGGGGGAAATGGCACGTGCCCCCCAATATTTAACTTGTTCCTATGCCCTTGGCTTGTTGTTTTTTATGGATTAAGAGTTTAGTTTGTGGACAAGTCGACATTTTTATGATTGGGAAAAGTTTTTTAAACAGATTTGTAAAAGACAAACTTTAATCTTACAACCCAGAGAAAGTGAAATAATTGCGTTCTGGGCAGCCATTTGGAAAGATGTGATGTGTCATGCTTTGTAATTGTGCGGTCTGACATCATCACCTCCGTATTAACCTTCGGAATGACTGGGTTTAAGACATGGCAGGTGTCGCGAAAACTCATAAATGGGGCGAGAAATTGAACCCGCCGGTTATAGCTCTTCTAAATTAATAGCTGGAATTAAATGTGGAGGCGCGTGAGGGAGGAGCGTCTGTCTGCTGCTCATAATCAGCGTAGGTAATCTGAAATATGGGGAAGTGAGAACCAGAGGGGTCACGGGGATTGTTAGCGGCCGCGCGCGCCTGTCTCCGTATCCGCGCGTGTCAGAATGCATGGGCTGATTTTTTCTTTCTTTCCTAGACCTGAGGCACGAGCCGCTGCTGCTTAGGCACGCGGTGACTCCCCAGCAGCTGCCTTGAATAAAGCTGCCTAGCGCAAACGGAAGCTCTCCGTTCAGGGCGAAGACGGCGACCGAAATCACAGTTAAACATTTATTTCCACACGGCACGTTAGCATTTTGCTTTAAATGGTAAAAGAAGTAAATCTGAAAAATATTAATAAAAAGAACAATAATAGCAAAAAGTGTTTGAACTTATTTTTAAAAAGATCACAGAAAACTGTAAATTCACTCAACTAAGCATCATTTTCAGTGGTATATTCCGCCTCACCTATCGTCGCTTTCCCTCTGAAGTCGTCCCTCCTTTAAGCAGAATAAAAGCGGCCGTCCTGGTCTCCCTTACCTCAGACTGACTATGTCTCTGTCCAGGGTCCTGAATCGGTCAGCCTCTGTCCGACGGGCTGGATTTCATCGCAGGTTTTTGTAAATCCGCTGCGAGGAGGCGCTGGAAAAGCCACTAAGTTAAAGAAAATCCCATTCCCAGAGCGAGGAGAGAAAACGACCACAGCGAAGAAAAAAACTGGATTCACTTTCAGGATGGGAGTAAAAAAAAGCGAGACCTGCTGGTTAAACGGAGCCGGTTTAACGAATGTATTTGCCGAGGCTTCTTGGTCAGTAGCCTCTTCCTCCGGATAGGCTTAGGCACCCCCCTCCTCCTCCTCTCCCCCTCCCTCCCCGCTCTCCCCCTTCTCTCCCCTTATCAATCACTGCTCCACTCACATATGTTGAGGTGACACGAAGCACGAACCTGACATTACATAAATGACATAACAAATCACTTAAACAGGAAGCATTGTTTGTAGAAACAACTTAGATTTAACAATTAGATTATTTATAATATCTATCATGACTTTTAGAAGACGTTTGTATCCACTTATAAAAACCCATTATTATTGAAAATGCCAACCAACCATACTTGTTTAAAAATGGAACAATCTCATAATTAATTTAGCAAAATGCCATTCACGCATCTAAGCAGGACCAACTAACAGCATTATGAAACTATGTGACTGTTCTATCAGCCTCTACCAAGCATATGAAACTGTGTTGGGGCTCAAAATGACCCAGGAGCCCAGATAAAAGGCTAAATAGGCCACACCCACCCACTCAGCCAGGACATGGGCTGTGTGCTGATTGGCCAATCTTTTTAGTGTATTTGATACACCAACCTGCCTATATTCAACAATAGCATCAAAGAAACTGTAGGGCAACCATTTAAATAACATTTTCCAAAATGTTGTGACACCTGTGTAAACATTCTCATCATCCTGAAAATCAATGCAAGTGCACTATGAAAGGCACACTATGCACATTTTTCATGTTTTTAAACCATCTTCTTGAACCAGTATGTGCTAAAATGACCCTTTCCAGGGTTAATGAAATGTCACTCAGACCCCACTGCCCTTTGTGGCCAGAAAATTGCACTTGCAACTTCAGAGTGCCAGTCCGGCTCCTGTTGGACTGTGGAGCTGACATGCCTGTTGCTGCAGGCAGCTTTCAGCTCATCTCCTGCATGTTTTAGATCATGAACACAGCTTTGAATTGAATTGAATTGTATTGGGACATGCCTTTAAAAAGTTTACACGATACTTTTCTGCTTATCCTGGCTTCCTCCAACATTCTGTAATTATAAACTAACTGTTGGTACTTTTGCAAGCTTGCACGACTGTGTTCTTCAGCCTGATGGATATCTCCAAGGTGTACTCCAACTCTCGCCCCATGACAGCTGGGCAAGACTCCAGCACTTCGTGACCCTGAGCAGGATAAAGAATGTGTCGAGAATGGATGGAGGGATTTTGCTACCCGTTTCCTCATGAGGATTTCAAAACCAGGCACCATGGTGGTTAAAACTGCTCCCATCATGCTTTTGGGAACTTCCTGCTTCCAATCCAGAGACATGCATAGAAGAACTGTGTCATGGTCTGTGTTTGTGTCTCTTTGTGTTCCTCTTGTGTCCCCTGGTCTTCAGCCCTCCAGATATTCCCTCTCAGGTCCTGTGTTCCTTCAGTCTCCCCACCATAATTTCCATAGGTCTGTTATTCCAGTTTTGTGTGTGTGTGTGTGTGTGTGTGTGTGTGTCTGTGTGTGTGTGTGTGTGTTTATGTCCTCCTCCAGCTAGGTGTGTGTGTGTGTGTGTGTGTGTGTGTGTGTGTGTGTGTGTGTGTGTGTGTGTGTGTGTGTGTTATGTCCTCCTCCAGCTAGGTGTGTGTGTGTGTGTTTATGTCCTCCTCCAGCTAGGTGTGTGTGTGTGTGTGTGTGTGTGTGTGTGTGTTTGTGTGTGTGTGTGTGTGTGTGTGTGTGTGTATGTGTGTGTGTTTATGTCCTCCTCCAGCTAGGTGTGTGTATGTGTGTGTGTGTGTGTGTGTGTGTGTGTGTGTGTGTGTGTGTGTGTGTGTGTGTGTGTGTGTTTATGTCCTCCTCCAGCTAGGTGTGTGTGTGTGTGTTTTTGTCCTCCTCCAGCTAGGTGTGTGTGTGTGTGTGTGTGTGTGTGTGTGTGTGTGTGTGTGTGTGTGTCTTTTCCCAGTTAGGTCTGGTGTCCTCTCCTGCTCCTCCTCCCTGATTAGATATCACTTTCACCTGGTTCTCTCCCCTCACACCTGCAGCTCATCATCTTCCCATTATACCTAAGTGTATAAAGCCCTGTCTTGTCTCAGTGTCTTGTTGGTCCATTGTTGCTTTGTATGTCAGCGTTTTCTGGTGCTCTGTGTGAGCCTGTTGTCTCGTCCCCAGACTTTGTGCTCTAAGTGAGCTTTCGGTGTCCTGTGCTCCAGGACTTTTGGATTTTTGGCTCGCAGCCTTTTGGATTTATTTTTGTTGTCATCCTACAAATAAAATGATTTATTCTTTACATCAACTCCTGCCTCGAGTCATCCTGGGTATCTGCATTTTTGGGTCCTAACACCCCCCTTAACTTGACCAACTGGGGATTGTGAATTGACATTAGGTGTGACACTGACCATCTAAGGTTTTTTGTCTCTCTAATGGTCCTGTAATGAACTGGTAACTCATCCTTGGTGTAACCCTTTCACTCTATAAGAGGCTGAATGGGTTCGGGCTCTGAACTGGATAACACAAGAGCATTACTTCACTATAAATCCCAAAGCTTCCAGCAGCTCTTAATGTATGATTCACTGTTTAGTTTACAATTTCACTTAAAGCTTGTTTGGCAACACAAGTAAAGTAAACTTACTGTTACCTGACAGATGATATAAATGTTAAATGTAGTAAAATATTTCGTGCAGACACATCTGCGTTGTGTCTTTACCACATCCATCCATCTATTATCATCCACTTATCTGGGGTCTGGTCGTGGGGGCAGTAGCCTAAGCACAGAGGCTTCTTCTTCTTTTTTAATATTTATAGCACCAAATCACGACGAGTTGTCTCAAGGCACTTCACAAAGTAAACATTCCAGTACAGTTCAGTTCATTAAGCCAATTAGAAAAAAGTGTCTTATATAAGGAACCCAGCAGATTGCATCGGGTCACTGACTAGTGTCAGTGACTTTACATCAATCCTCATACTAAGCAAGCATGCAGCGACAGTGGAGAGGAAAACTCCCTTTTAACAGGAAGAAACCTCCAGAGGATCCTGGCTCAGTATAAGCAGCCATCCACCACGACTCACTGGGGATCGAGAAGACAGAGCAGACACACACACACACACACACACACACACACACACGCACGCACGCACACACACACACACACACACACACACACAAACACAACATGAATACCAAGTAGTGTTTCTGTGGCAAAATTGTGATTTCTTGGTAAATATTTTATTTAGCAAGAAGTAAACTTTATTATCTTTATCTGTATGAATCTACTCTACAATTAATTCAACAGGCGAACTAGTAGTAGCACATTCCAGACCAGCTCAGTGGCCTTGTGGAATGAGTGTCCGCCCTGGGACTGGGAGATCAGGGTTCAAATCCCGGTCGGGTCATACCAAAGACTTTGGGGAAAAAAATGGGACCCAATGCCTCCCTGCTCAACACTCAGCATTAGGGGTTAAACCACCAAATGGTTCTTGAGCGTGGCTGTGTCTGCAGCTCACCGCTCCCCCAGGGGATGGGTGAAATGCGAAGAACAAATTTCACACACCTGTGTATGTGAGAAGACTAATGGGACTTTAACTTTCCATGTCAAAGAAAGTAAAATGTTATCAGGAGAGGAAGAATGTTTAAGTGGTTAACAGCAGTATGCTAGCTGATAGCCCCCTTCATGAGGCTACCACAGCTCAGCAGAACAGACTTCCCTCTCCCCAGCCACTTAGGCCAGCTCTTCCGGGGGACTCCCAAGGCGTTCCCTGGCCAGCCAAGAGACAACTTCCCTCCAGTGTGTCCTAGGTCTTCCCTTGGGTCTCATCCTGGTTGGACGTGGGTCAGGACCTCGTCCCTGACCTGGAGAAGGCATTCTACCCTTTTCTGGATCAGATTTTTTTCTTTCCACATGCAAAGAAAATTCTGCATTTTTGTATTTTGGACTATGTAGGATGAAGTGAGATGGATCCATGAATTAGGATTAATCTGCAGCAACTAATAAACCTGATTCAAAATGATTTAAGTTTCTTCTGCATTTCCTCCTAATGTATCATGACCGAGCAAACGCATCAGGCTCAGACGTAGAGGTAAAATAGAGCACTGTCTACAACCACTGCTTCTCCTCATCCAATAGTCAGCTGAGACAATCCGGGATTCCCTCAGAAGATTTTCCAGGCAGTCCTTCCTGACCAGCTGGAGAATGTCACCTGAAAGTCTGGACTTCCTCCTAGAGCTGACACTAGCATGACTTGACCTTGAATTAGAGTCAGATATGAAATCCAAACATCATTGATTGACTTCCTGTTTGCCGGTATGTTTTTAATCAGTCTCAAGACAAATGTAGTTTCTATTTCAGTTTTCCTCTCCTGTTTCCGTCCTGCTCGGACTCTTGTTTGTTTGGATCTGCTGGAATCCTCGCTCTGCACACCGTCCCATTTGTGTCTTTCATCAACACTCTTCTGTTTCTACATCTGCTCGCCTCACCTGTGGCTGCACTTGATTCCTTCACGTAATAACCGCCTCACAAGCACATGCGTCATTGTCAGAGCAGTGCTGCGTGACATACTGTGTCGGTTTATCTCCTGAATGTCTCAATAAAAAGCAATTCATCTAAGATTCACCATTTTAGTCTGGCTCAGACGGCGGCGGTCCAACAAACTGAATGACTGGCTTCTACAAAGCTTAACGGAGCACAGTAAATTCACCCAATGTAATGCAAAAAAAAACATCATTTATATCTTAGCGTGTTGAAATGGAGATATAACGACAGATGACGGTGAGTCATGGTTGGCCACAAGCCTTCATCTTTCCCTGTGGGACAACAAAAACATGTCTTCAGTCACGGACAGAGTGGTCTGATCCTATCTAGAAGAAACGAGGTGTCCCTAATCATTAGCTTACAAAATCACATCCATGTGAGCGACTGCACACAGCTACTTAAAATCAAGTAGACACAAAAAAAGCCCCCGATGGTCTCTCTCTCTCTCTCACACACACACACACACACACACACACACACACACACACACACACACACACACACACACACACACACACACACACACACACACACACACACACACACACACACACACAC